AGGTCCAATCCTTTGCCTCCCCATTCCAACCCCTAAATCCCGAAAACCATATACCTTTCCTCAATAAGCCACCAACGCACTTGCCACTACTCTGCTTAAGGGCGTTGTCGACTGCTTACCATCAGGTAATCCAACTGCTCGTTTGCCACTGAACCATATAGGTAAACACACCCTTATGTGAATGGGACAATGGTGCTAAGTAGCTACTATTGACCTGAGACCTCACGTTTGACTGTCATAACATACATATGAACACGCAATCTAAAGATTCAGAGAAAGTCTATTCATTAATAGAGCAAATATATTATGAATATTATATTATCAAAGAGATTTTTAACAAAATGGCCGACTGTCATCTGTCAGAACTAACTTGACAGCTAGTTAGAAAGTAACTTAAATACACTCTAAACTTAAGTTTATATACTAAGTTAAATTAAACCGATGATCAATTACAGTCAAAAAGATTTTATCAAGAGTTTGCGGTTGATAAAAGAAAGTCTATCAAAGTAAACTAATTAGTATTATTATTTTTGTTTAAACTAAAACTTTTCTTAGACTTAGACTTAGGTTTGGTATTTCATATATTATTTTAAACTTTTTAATTGGAATGTCTCGTTAGTAGTAACAAACGGTTGTGGTTGAATTCTTGGCAAAATATGTATTGGAGAGTTTTTACTTGTACGTAACACGAAAATTGTTATACGCGTATGACTGTACTCATATATGTGTATACGTTAACAAACGTTGAACGATAATTTCAAATTATAGGTAAGTTGGAAATTGACAATCTGCGCAAGCAAAGCAGGTATGGTGAATGACGTTTAAACCTTCTCCGTGTGAGAAGAGGCCTTTAGAGAAATATCTCTTAATTATTATGAAATAATGATTATAGTTCTGGCTTACAAAGACGTTATTTTAAAATAAAGGTTAGTCATTTATCGTATTCGATTTTTTAATGATATAGTATTGGTTTTTTGAACTGATTCGAAATTTAAATTATGAAACAAAAAGATAGGGCCCTGTAGACCGATATATCTTAAGACAATACATAACTTATTTTTTTATAAAAAAAGTTAGTTTGTTTTGTGAATGAGTATGAATCGTGTACGAAAATAGCGATTGTTTCACATACTTAATCTTTATTTCTAAGAGGGATCTGTACTGTAGTATCTACAGTTAACAACTGAATGGATTTTAAAATGAAATGAGATGAGTGAGGCTCGAAACAAATCATATCGGTGCTTTTTCAACCATCCTATCATTCAGCCTAATCCGTGTAGGACACATTTCTTGTTTTTTACGGGGAGAAAATCATCAAATGACTTTTCACGGTGGGTCAATAATGTCAAACTTTTGGTGACTGAAAACCACCCAGTTCCTTCCTCTGTTCCGGGCCGGAGTCATAGTCCATTATTCCACTTGAACCCTAAACCCCGACTGGACCTATGCATACATACATATATGGGGATTGGCCCTAGTTGGCTCCATCTGTGGTGATCTTATGGCTCAGACAGAATACACGATAGCTCAGAAGCTGTTTCTTTTTCAAACATCTTTTCAATAGAAGATGTGTAAAATATAACATAGAGGCGATAGCAGTAATATTTCAAACTATATAGCTTTAAGAGGTCACTTTGAACTGTCTCTCTGTTATTTTCCTTTAATTCAATACAAGCTTCTGAATAGGGCGACACCAATGCAGTTAGGACAGTGTTTTTCAGACATTACTGTTTTATTATTCAACTGAGTACCCGCCCCGGCCGGTATAAATGTAATAAATTTACTATCATCTCTAGATAGTAAATTTATTCACTATTTAATGGATGTTATTTTACATACTAACCTTCCTATTCAATTACTCTACCTAATTTAAAAAAACGCATCGATTGCGTAGTCCGACAGAGAAACCGACTCTGTTTTATACCATGTAGTGATAAATATCTTATTGCATAAAAATGCCAATTAAAAAATTGTGCGTAATGAATCTGATTAAAATAAAATACCAACCTTTTTTAAGTGATAGGTCGGATTTGGGGACGGGAAGGATTAGGCCTCCGGTAACCTCACTCACAAGGCGAAACACAACGTTATAGTTGTTTCACGCCGGTTTCCTGTGAGGCCGTGGTATCACTCTGGTCGAGCCGACCCATTCGTGACAAAGCATGGCTCTCCCACTAATAAATATCTGTATCTATGGTCAATTTTTTATAATTCCTAACTTATTTTTAACTGAAATTTTCACCATAAACAAACCCAATACTGTTCACCTGGATAAACAAAAATTCAATTGTCGAATCCTGTGATATTTCTTCTTATTATAAATTTTATTAAATTGAATCCTTTTTATAATGAGACCACAAAACATTGGATATTTTAACAAAGGCACATCAAAGGAGTTTTCTTTTATTATTTTATTTTGGTATTGGCTTCTGCCAGCATTTTTGTGCTGGTACCGGGGCAAAAAGGCCAGCGGGGTTACGGGTGCAAACGCAATAATAAACCAGAGTCCATCCTGGAGCAGGAGGTGAAACGTGGTTATTTTTTTTTTAAATGTATGCCCAGCGATGGCAGGGCTATTGGACCTGGGCACCAACCGTGCCGTCATCATGAGTGCCAAACACTACCTCTCACCCCCACCTGAAGAAGAAACTGACTGTTTTCTAGTTGCAGGAAAATGAAATGCTAAAAAATGGGTGACAAAGATCCTATGTGTTATTCCAGACTATAATCTCTTTATGTGTTAAATTTCATTTAAATCTGTTTAGTTGTTTTTGCGCGAAGGAGTAACAAACATACTTACACTCTTGCAAATTATTTTTTTTATGAAAATTTAAACTAATATAATATAGTAATACATTTTCTAAAAGGCTGTTTTGAAATAATTTTATTGCTTTAAAAACTTTAAAGATATTATTTGCTAATTAACTTAATGATGACTCTTTGGTTTTGAAGAGCTGTTTGTGTGTTCTTTTTAGCATTGTAGTTAGAGTAAAATAACATTGAATAGTTTACTTTTTTAGTTTCATCATTTGTTACAGTTCAGTTTGAATGAAATTTTGGTCTAGACTTTGGTATAGGCTTTTTTCTCTTTTCGTTGTCATTTATAGATGTTACCTAGATTAAACTAGATTTTAGAAGTTAGTAATGGCGGCTACTCTTCGTAATGAATCAAATTTCAAGTTCTTGACGATCGACGATCCTTCATCATTACTGTAAACAATGCAATAAATCCGTTTGAATATTATTTTTGGGAAATTTTAAAACACACCTACGATATTTCTTACCCTCTAATTGAAACAAAAACTTCATGGTTCGGTTCCCTGATAAAGAAAATCTTATTTTAATGCGTTTCATTAAAGTATACTTTCCCACAATTTCACGTAAAGTAAAGAATCTCAAACCTTTTCGTAGTATCTAACAGTCAGCTTTAAATAAAATTTTATTTTTCCGGCCTTCCTTATTGGAGAGGCCAGCCCTTATCTGATTCTTAAGTAATCATGATATAAATCACTCAAAGGAGTTTGTAATCCTGACTCGAAATATTGTTGTTCTTATGAACGAACATTAATATTTTCGTTGAGGCTATTAAAAGAAACAAAGTGTTTCCTTTTTCCTCCCCTTGTCCGTAATCCGTTTTTATAAGGACAAATTTTGAAGAGGCATCACTTGAAGATATCGAATTTCTTAAAACAATAACAGTAGGGGCTTTGAGCGAAGATTCTCGAATGAAATTTAATGAATTCGTTAAGAATTTACCTATTATCCTGTTTAATGATATAATATTTTGTTTTTTGTTTTTGTTTTTATAAGTGATGTTTTTAAGTAGCTGTTTTTTTGTGTTTTGAGTTCTATGTTACCTACGAAATGTCTTTTTATTTTTAAGTTTTTTACCCTAGTGTCTTTGTTGTCTTAATTATTTATTTAAACATAGACAACGATTGGCTGTTACATTAGAAATAAAAATTGAACTTTTTAAGGTTTTACAATAGGCAAGCATATAAATTTTATAGTGACTTAAAAAAGAAAGAACATAATTTTACTAATATTAAAAAAGAAATTTTAGTGTGTAATTATGGATGTATGTTTTTTATTCTTTGACGAAAAACGGCTAGACAGATTTGATTTAAATGTTGTATGTAGATATCCTTTTTACATACATAACATACTACGTGGTCTGAGCCACGGACAGGAGCTAATTGAAATAAAATAGAAAAAAATATGAAAGTAAAACAACTATTATGAGACAAAAACTAACTTAATTAGTTCATACACACAAAATAGCAAATTAAAAAAACGACACAATAAAAAATAAATCGTATTTTATTCAACGTTGATAACATTTTTGCTCGACAAAAGAATATCCAAACTGGCCACACAAAAGCATAGTGTAGTTCTTCATTTTGGGCAGATCCCTGTCCAGGGCAGGGCAGTAAAATAAATTGAAATTTCGCTATGCAGGTGTTCCTAGCACACGTAATATATAGAGACGAGAGTTTGCCCAACTTTTACGGGCAGGTTTTGTCCAAAAACTTGTCCATAGCGTTCAATAAAGCTGATAGATTTTTGTGGTTTTGTTTCGGACATTGTTGGTTTTTGTATATTTAAGGGGTGAAACAAGATAATTGTAACTACATTTTATTTTATTTTAACATTTTCAGATAACTTACAGGTAGAACAAACAATATATAAGAAATAATATGACACTTAAAACCATTTACAAGTTTTCCCAAATAGGTTTTGCCTAATGTTTCCAAAAAATATAGTTGTTACTGTGTTGCGATGCCTGATACAAAATCTTCAAAATCAATATATTAAAAAAACAAAATATATTATTTTATGTTATGTATCTTAAAAGTTAGAAGACTCTTTAAAGACTTCAATTGAAAAATATTTTTGTGTAAATTTGCTTCTATTTTTTTGCATGTGTGTGAACAAAGTGATTTTTTTATTTTTCTTTGTTAAAATTTTTTGAAGTAAAAATATAAAATATATACGAATACCGACGGACAATATAAATATTTTGATGAAACAATTGCTCTTAGCTTGAACATTTTTTTGAGATAAGAGTTTATCATAAGCACCAATAAAATTGTATTCATGACACACATGTACACAGATACGAAGAGCTGTGAATTAAACAAATTCGTTCCGAGAATCGCCTCCACAACTAGACGATCACGATAGTTTCTAAACAAAATGGTATCTGTGTATATTTTTTTTATGTGATAAGTTGACAAACGACGGTTACCTGATGGTAAGCAATCAACGCCGCCCATGGACAACCGCGACAACAGAGCAGTTACGAGTGCGTTGCCGACTTTTTTGGGATTGGAGATTAGGAGATTTTGGGATTTTGGAGAGATTGGAGGAGGGGAAGGATTGGGCCTCCGGTCACTCACACGGCGAAACACGCTGTGGTTGTTTCACGCCGGTTTTCTGTGAGGCCGTGGTATCATTTTGGTCGAGCCGACCCATTCCTGCCGCAGCATCGCTCTCCCACACTTAAATTTCTCCCAAACTATAAATTTGAATAAAATAACCTCTTTTTTACAGAGAAATTACTCTGTAAAAAAGAGGTTATTTTATTTGCCACGCTATTAACCGTTGTTAGACATTTATTTTGAGAATGTGTACAGGATGCCTAAATTTTTTAAAGTAACTTATACTCATATGTTTCTTGAGGTTTACCTTAAAACTCCAGACTCCAATTACGCATTTATCCAGGCATTATATGTAGGTTAATCAAATAAAGAATTAAATTCTATTTCAAGATCTTTTGTAGACGCACAAATTAATGCTAGTAAAGATACACAGAACACGCCTTTATTAGGGTCGAACTGTAGTAAATTCTGTAATAAAATCTAAGAATAAGAATTACATACACTTCTAATTGTTGTATCATTGCAAAATTTGCCAATATGTAGATTAAATGACTTTAAATTAGACATATTATTAATAAAGTATTTGATTGTACGCCTTGATAACGAGGGTATGTGAAGACGACGAGATCAGATGACTTGACAAGAGATTTGACACCTAGTTAGTTGATTTTAACATTGATCGGGCTTTCGGAAACCGGGCATAAGTGTGTTTTTTAAAGTTTAAAAAATATTTATCTGTTACAATTTTTTTGGATATAGTTAACAGTTAACAGAGTTTGTGTCACTTATTTATGTTACCTAAACCATTCACTACTACATAACATATACAATCCACAATATGCTATAGAAAATAAATATTAAGTTAAATTAGTTTAACAACAAGAACAACAGTATAAATAAATTTTTTTATGGAATAGGAGGCCAACGAGCAGACGGATCACCTGATGGTAAGCGATCGGCGCCGCCCATGGACACCTGCAACACCAGAGGAGTCACAGGTGCGTTGCCGGCCTTTTAAAAAGGAGTACGCTCGTTTCTTGAAGGTTTGAAGGTCGTATCGGTTCGGGAATACCGCCGCCAGAAAATCATTCCAAAGCTTTGCTGTGCGGGGCAGAAAATTACGCGAAAATTGCGTTATATTATAATACATTCTAAGTTTTTACTGTAAAAAACAAATGATTGAATTAAATGAAATTTTATGAAAAAAAAAACAGAATCACTTAGTGCTTGTTACATTTAAAGAAGTAATCGCTCTTTTTTTGTAAGAGATGTTATTTTAAAACTGTCCTATCTTCTCTAACGTCGTGGTAACAATACATCGCTTGGAACAACCAAGGATATAACTCCAACACTATCCATTTCACGGTATTGCACCCTCTTATGTTGTAACATTTCATATCGTATATTCTTGTTCTCAACTAATATTGTTTTCAGAGCTTATATATTATATTTAAACAGAGTTCAAATAGAAATAATGTAACTTCATTTATTTTACATTGAGGTTTTCAAAGTCTATTGTGTTCATTCATTGGTCTGTTTTCGTCTGTCTTTAAGGCACAGACTGATATTACGTATTATTAATCTTTTTATTATTATTTTTTTATTTCAAAATGCAATATTGATAATAGATTCACTGTCACTAAAATAAAAATATATTTGTTTGCAAGCTGCATGTTCAGGACAAATTCTGACAATAAATAATTCTATTTGTGATCAAGATCTTTGTGAAGAATCAGTCCAAAGTGTAAGTGTAGGGGAATCATGCTTTGGCACGAATGGAACCGCTCAACCGGAGTGATACCACGGTCTTACAGAAAAACCGGACGTGAAACAACCACAGCGTTGTGTTACGTCGAGTGAGTGACGTTATAGGAGGCTTAATCCTTCCTCTTCCTCCTTCATCCCTAATCCTTGAATCCCCATAATGTCGGCAACGCACTTGCAACTTCTCTGGTGTAGCGGGTATACATGGGTGGTGCCCTAGCTAACTAAGTAACACTTGAGCAGGTTACAAAATGCCAAATAAAAACTGACTTTACCATAAGGACCTCTATACCTACCCCATTAGCAGTAATAGTCATGAAACTATGCTAAGCTGACACATTAAAGATTCTCCCCATATTTTCCATTTTAGCTAAAATATTACCAACTCTAAAACTCCTATCAAAGTTATGCCCTAATTACTAACTTAATTGATGGGCACGAAATAACAAAACAAAAACTTTTTGTATAAGTACCTACGTGAATGACCTAGATTGAATTTTTTAACCTCTAGACTTTGTTAACAGCACGATACAATATTTTAACACGTGGAATAGGGATGTGGTACGAAACGTTTGGCTATCGATAAAAAAATACAATAACATTTTACCCTTTTTTTGTCAGGCGAAAGTCATCTTGACTTGACATGACTTCTCCCGCCCAGGGTCTCTAAGGCGAGAGAGAGTGTCAGAATCTTACTAACTCAGAATACAGAATTAACCAGAAGGCGTCAACACGCTTCAAACTGAGGCAACTAAAACCACTCTTAACTAGAGTAGTATAAAATTTCTACGATTAGTCAATTTTGGCACGTGGCATGTCGTGACGTATTTACAAGTATCAATTTTAATTTTATTATGGCGTCTTGTGTTATTCCTACAAGTAAAAAAGCGGCTGGAATTACGAAAAAAGTGGATAAGATTACATTTCATCTGCAAGCATCGACTGTAATAGTATATTTAATTAATTATTGAATTTTTTTTATCGATTTATTTTTCTATGAAAATGATGCGGCCATTTTGTGAGTGTTGTCATTTTTTGTGAAAATTTTACCCACTTATTTAATTGTTGTCAGTTATATTTTTTTCCATTATGGAGCCTATGTCTGTGTCTAGTGTGCTCAATTCACTCTGAAGAGATATATTTATGACAAAGGTGGTTTGAAAACAGCATTTCTGTAAACTAAAATTAAAATTAACACAACCAGGAATCGTCAAATTTTATGATACCTCCATGAAATGTGTGAACAACTAGTCTGTTGCATTTATCGTAAGTTTTCCAATTTTTTTGGGTTTACCCAACCTCTACCCTCGTGTTGTAAAATTACCCCAAACCAAGGAATTGTTCCGCTGTCGGCAACACTACGCGGGTGGGAAGTGTGGCTGGCGGGGGGATTGACGTATTGTTTTTGGACACATTTGACGACATGCAATTATGAGTGAACGCGGATTCTGGTTTGTTCTGTATTCTGAGCTTACTAACTAAAAACCCCCCCGTTCCTTCTCCTGCTCTGGGCCGAGGTCGCGGTGCCTCATTGTGCTTACCCCGTAACACCGGCTGAACATCAGCTCCATAGGGCCTTATAACATTTTACCCTAAGATAAGGAACCAAAATCTTTTACTCAGCCATCGATACTGAAGTCACTTGAAAAACAAATGGCCAGTCTGTATATGTTTTTTTTTTATTAAATACAACAAACAACAAACATTGCGTGTATTGTATATACAAAGTCGCTTCCTCTGTCTCGACTTCCCTATTTATGCTTAAATATTTATAACCACGCAAAGAATTTTGATGCTGTGTTTAATAAATTAAATAATTGCAGTTTAAAGAGATCATCCATAAGTTACCATAGAGTATTGTAGGCAATTAGAAAAGGGCAAACTTGAAATTAATAGTAATCTGTCATAAGTTTATGAAGAGGAAAGATTTTATTGTTTGTATTTATGAACCCGTGGTATACTCTTTTTTTTTGTGAGGGGAAAATCATCAAATGACTTCTCCCGCCAAGTGCCGGGCGGGAGGGAGTGTCAGACTCTTACTGACTAAAAACCTCCCTGTTCCTTCTCCGGTCGCGGTGCCTCATTGCGCTTACCCCGCAACCACCCGTGGTATGCTGGACCGCAGATATACGCTAAACACAATGTGTTTTCTATTGTGTCTCATATACTGGCGGGCAAGAGTTTAAATAAACTTAATTAACGTATTAAAATACTTATGTCGACAAACTACAGATACATCACTAGTCACGCTAAAACTTAAAAGATTATATCATATATGGAGCGAGTGTTGAATTCGCGCCTCATGGCATATCTAGAAGGTAACGATCTCCTCAGCGACCGACAGTATGGATTTCGCCGCAACCGGTCTACTGGGGACCTACTAGTTTATGCCACTCACTTGTGGGGCGAGGCCCTCGAGAGGAATGGGGAAGCTATTGCCGTGTCCTTAGACGTGTCGAAGGCCTTCGATAGGGTATGGCACGATGGCCTTTTGTCTAAGCTTCCAGCGTACGGCATTTCTCCTGGACTGATAAACTGGGTAAAAGACTTCCTGAGTGGACGGTCACTCCGAGTTGTTATCGATGGATGCTCATCAGAGCCTATGTCGACTAATGCCGGTGTTCCTCAGGGGTCTGTTCTCTCTGCAACTCTATTCCTGCTCCACATTAATGATCTGCTAGTGCCTGGTATCCTTGGGTATGCAGATGATAGCACAGTTGTAGAGAGATACCTGCCCAGTGCTCGGGCTAGTAAGGAGCTAATCCAGTCTGAAAGGGAGGCTATGGTAGAGCGTACGAATGTCTCACTTCAGGTAGTTTCAAAGTGGGGCAAAACTAATCTGGTAACATTCAACGCCACCAAAACACAGGCGTGTCTATTCACCGCCAAAAGGAGCCCGTTCACCTTGGCTCCTGCTTTTCGGGATGTATCCCTGGAGTGCACCGACCGCCTTCAGCTCTTGGGAATGGACATTGCTTCAGACCTCAACTTTGGGCGGTTCATTGAGTCCAGAGCCAAGGTAGCTGCTAGAAAACTCGGCGTTCTTGCAAAAGTCCGACGGTACTTCACACCGAGTCAGCTTCTAATGTTGTATAAAGCTCAGGTCCGATCGTGTGTGGAGTACTGCAGCCACATATGGGCTGGTGCTGCGAAATGCCACCTAGCGGCTTTGGATTCGGTGGAAAGGCGTGCAATGAGGCTGATTGGAGATCCAGATTTGGTTGGGTCCAATATTCAAAGTCTCGAGCACAGGCGCAGAGTAGCCAGCCTTGCGGTTTTCTACAGGATACATT